CTCACTGTCTATACACACACACATTACATTACATTCCGCGTCACGTTTTCTCCTCTTATATATACCAGCCTACCCTATCTAGTAAATACTAGAGCATTCGCCAAAGTACATGATAGTTCTAGAAACGTTGCGTCACAGTAGTCATGTGACTCGCTGACGCAACAGTATCTTATAATTTAATCCAAATACACACAAAAGTACACGCAACGCTAAAACATACAGAAATAAATAATATCATATCTTATAATGTAATCCAAATACATGCAAAGATAAAACATACAGGAATAAAAATAAATGTTAAAAACCTATGAACTCATGAGTGGTGTGTCAGCATTCAAAAAGCGTTGAAGATAATCGCTCGTAAAAATCTGCTGTGTGAAAACAGATGAACAAGTTTGAAATTAAAGGCCAGGTTCAGGTTCTTTAACCAATAATGTTCTTAACCTAACTACACAATTCATTGTCTGCAGACAATTATTGGAAAATAGTTGTCCACACGCACACACACACACACATATATATATAACTATTTTTTTAATTTATTCATTTATTTAATTAACAAAATAATCTACAGAGATTTTACATCACCCGCTTAATCTTCAACATACTGTGTTTGATGCCAAATAAATCTGAACATTGAAAAACAGCATAGTATTAAATATAAACATGGTTTAAAGAAACAAATTAACATTAAATCCTTTGAAACCAATAAGTATACTGACTGTTCTGATGCATTAGCCACAAAACGTTTTTACAAATTGAATATCGCTATATAACATGTAAAGTGATTATATATCAATGATAATTTTTCTTGAATTTCCCAAAAAACCATCAGAAAAATATATATGTTCACAATTTGTTAATGTTAATTTTTCTTTTTTCTTCTTTTTTGATCGTAAGAAAAACGAATATAGTAATGATATATTGAAAACACAACTTCTCTTGGACTGATTCAAAGAAACATGTAAAACGTTTCTCTGATTAAAATTAGACCATGCCATGCATGAACATTGTAAAAGTTTACAAATTATTTTCTTAAAGAGTTAGTTTCTTTATCATAACATAATGATATTTGAAACCTTAATCAACACAGAAACATAAATGTCAATTAAGTATTGATGGCAAACACTTTATTCGATTCGTTCCAGATCATAGAGAAACTATTTATGACATGGGAGCCCACAGAAATATTTTCGGGGGGGGGGGACATGCATGTAGGGGATCAGCTTTTACAGTATTAGTCAACAGGCTAAACGAATATGTATTATGTGTACTTATACGCAATTTACAGTTTTAATTCAAATTACTAAACATATTTAGTTTAATGACGATGTTAAGTTTACATCATAAATGCCCCCTCTTGCCCCTTTATGCGGGCGCCCATGGTTTGTGATACTAACATATTGATCACAAAGCATCACGAATGAATTCCAGGTAAAAAATATATATATATATAAATTATGACAAACTTTTCTTTGAAACATCAAATATCATTACAGAAATATGTGGATGATTTAAAGGTCATGAGAGAAACATCAAGTGCAAGGTATATTGACGATTAATCGTTTTTAGATGCATATATAATAGCTGGAAAATAAAATACAATTATAAACATAACACAGCAGTAAAATTACATTTAACTTCTAAAGGAAAGACTACAACATAACAGCATCTTCTTAATTTAGAGTACTTTAAAATATATACATACACACAGAGAAAGATATATGCACTTTCCAGGGCCTAATTTAAGAGAATTTTATCAGTCCATTGATTTAGCTAGGATCAAGGGGCATAAATGATGAGTCTAGGGTAGGAGCCCCGATGAGGGACTATAAGGAACCATAGGGTTATGATTAAAATATTGTTTTGAGGGTAATCTATTTTAATATGAAGGTGGCCATCATAGCAAATTTTAAGAGAAAAGGTTGAAATGGTGGCAGTTTTATTTGAAACAAAAACATTTTTGTACGTTTGCAGAATATTTGAAATTAGTTAACATTTTTTAGTTATGTTGCGTAATACACATTAATAGAATTACTAGCATTTACAAGCTCACTGTAAGTTAGGCAGTGTTTTATTTCATGTTGATTATTAGAACAATACACATATTATATATAATTTCGAGTTACGAAATAGATCGTTATCTTTACGGATACCATTAAATAAGCCAAGATTTGACGCACTTATAACGCCGTTAGTATCACAATTCTGTAACCATAGCAACTGTTTTTATACCATTACGTAATGAATAATATTGCTATATATAGAGCAAATAATATTATCTTATTTTTTATATGAAATGCTCCTTTTGCACAAATATTAAAAACTATTCAAAAATATTTGTCATATCATGCTATTTTACACAACTATTTGATTCAAGATCAATATTGAATAGGTTGTTAACTTAGCTTCCGGTTTTCTGTGTAGTTGTAATGGGAAGAGCTTTAAACGTACTGAGTGAAGAAGTCTGTTGGCTTGCGAGTGCTTGATAACGTTCGAGCGTGTTCGCATGTTGGGATACGTATTTTTGTCTCAGTGTGATGTATATTATTATTAAATTACAACGCTTGGAATTTTTAGGTTAATATATTGTATTTATTCATTATACGTGTAGTATTAAGAAGTGTGCATTAGACACCATTAATGTAATTTCAGTAAATATACTATTTTTGTTATCACTGATAACTAAATAAGTAGACTGGTACTGGTAAGTTATTTTGTTAACCTATTGCGATGCTTAATTTCCGAGATCATAATTTAGTGATTCTTGTCTCAGTTATAAACATTTGATAATGAAAGAGAAAACGAGAAATAACAGAGAGGAAGAAAGTAACTCCAATCCATTTGAAAACGCTAACTTCTTGTCGAGAATTTTATTTTGGTAAGTAAAACTGTAGTTTTGATTTTGAGTTATAACGTGTGTAGTACATTTACTAGTAGTAATACATCTACCTTACGCAGGTGTTGATATAACACTATAACTTATAAGTATCATAAACACTAACAGGACAAGTTACTATGCTGGATTCTTGAAAATAGCAATAAATGCAAAATTAAAGAATAAGTTAAACAATCGCGAAGTTTTTTTACATTTATTTTATTTTTATAAAACACTTGACGATTGTTTAACCTATTTTGTTTAATTTTCATGTCTTTGCTGCCTAAGCGGTTAACTAGTATATAGTATATATTTCTAGCAACAAATGTTGAGCCTATTTCGGCTTACAAGTTACATTTAAAACTGAAAGTTTTTGGTAGGTTTCATTTCTAAGAAACGTAGCAGTAGTACTAAGAATTTCATAAAAAAGCTTTTATTCCTTATTACTCGAAAATTTGTTCAATTTATATTTCACATGTACGATCTAGTATTATTACAGTTAATATACCGACTACTACTACCAGTACCAGTATTATAGCAATGGCTAATTTGTGATGTACATCAACTGAGAAACAAATGATAAAGTGTGACAGCTGAAAAGTGAAATGCAACCCAATCTTTTTTTTTACTCCCCTTTCCATCCCATGCATCAGTTCATTTATTTATCTATTTATTAAATTTATTATATATATATATATATGTGTGTGTGTGTATGTGTGTATATATATATAACAGTAAAAGTTGTTGATGAGATCAACAGATATTGATGCATGTTATGATTTAGTACTCATCTATGATTAATTGTGTTAAATTAAATTATTCAAAATTCAAATAATTTTTAGTTAATCACAAATTATCATGTGTAGTTTTACTTTGCCATGTTAGTCCTTCAAAAGTCCAAATGTTACTGTTAGAAAGTTGGTACAATGCTGCATTAATCAATCTCAGAAATGAAATAATAAGCGTGAAACTTTTTTTTTCTATTCAAAGCTAAGCCTACAGATTGAGGTAATACAGTTGCAGTTAGTAAGTTATATTGTAAATCATCCATTGATTCTGGACTATCTGCATAAGCCATTGTCAAGCAAATATAATTTCAAGTAGTCAAGATCATTAAGACTATTAATTGTTCTTATGAATTACGACGTACCTTTACAAGTACTCAAAAATAATGGGCTACTTGATATTTAAAGATTTTCAAAAATATTGAACTAAAACTAAAAATACCATGTAATATTTTAAAGTTTTAAACAATTATCCAATCTTCCTTGTAACCCATCATTTATATACTAAAAATGTGAAAAACATTGGTGAGACATTATCCTAAATTTTTTACACATATTTCTTTCTTTTGTAACAATGAATAATAATTACTACAAATGGTCATATTAAACCTTAAATAAGCAAAGTAGAACTAACAATCCAGGAAAGTGTTTTTCCTGTTATACTTGAAAGTGATGCTGTTAAATTTGTAACTTCATCAGTTTACACCTTCAAGAGATGAAAAATACACTGGACAAAAAGCAAAGACAAATATCCATTTAAGTAAATCTGAATCTCTTAGTCTAAGTTAGTATGTTATTCCATATTTGTGTGATTTTTGTATAAACCTTTCAAAATTATTCTGAAAATGTTTTTTTATAATTAGGTAGATTAGCATGTTTCAATTAGCTGAAGTTTAGGTTAAAATTTTAAAAAGATTTAGCAGTGGATTTTAAGTAGCTTGTTCTTATTTTTCATTTTATTTGATTGAGAACACTTAACTGAAGGTTTTAAGTTTTTAGACACAAAACTGCAAAAGTGTTGGTGGAATTTTCAGTATGGGAAAGGTTTTTCACAGATTTGTAAAAACAGAATATGAAGAAATATTTGGGAGTTTTTATTTATTATAAAGAAACTAGAAACAAAAAGCATATACAATGAATGAAATTATATGTACCTATAGTTATTTTATTTACTTTGTAAAACTGTATTATGTTTTCATAACATGTATTAATATGTAGAATATTTTTTGTCATTTAAACAACTAGGTAAAAACCTGTGGAAATTGTATTAGGATATATGTAATATAGCCTGAGGGGATATATATTTCCACCAATATTTAAACCTAATAATCAAAAAACTTATTTGAACTTTGAGACAGGATGAAAGAGGAATGAAAACTAAATTAATATAACCTATTACATAAAGCATTCTACGGAATGTATGAATAAACACAAAGTGCAAGAAGTAAAAATTCCTTTAATGAAAGGATGAGATTAAAAGTAAATATATTTATAGAAAATAATATTATACAATACTAATTTTAATGAGCTTGCAATAATAAACTGATAGCGAAATTCAACATAAATGTGAGGTACAGAAAATAAACAAAATTTACAGTGAAAAGAAGTGTAAAAAGCTAAATTCAAAAACACTACTTAAAAAAAGACATGAAACAGAATAATGGAATAATAAAGTTCTTCACATACATAATTCCTAACTTTTGGTAAAGATGCCTTTTTTGGATTTCTGTGTTCAAAAGTAAAACTAACAAAACAGTAGCTATCATATAAGGTAATTATTAAAGACATTTGTTTCTATACCAGAAAACAAGATGACCAGTAAACGTCTGTTTGTCATAGTTTTCAGTTAACTAAGCTTATGTGAAAAACTTGGAAATGCAAGGAATACAAATATTGAAATAATAAAATACTTAAGCTTAACTCATATACTTAGCTGAGATAACTGCATTCTGAAAAGTAATTGTGGTGTTGCTGCAACTTATTACATGTGAGCTTACCTTAAAGTGAAACCACTTAGTCGAAACCAAATTGAAACAAAGATTAATTGTAATTAGCTTACTCCAAATGAAATCATGCCTGATTGTGATCAAGAACATAAAAATGTAACAAAAAACAAGGTGAAAAGTAAGCCCTTTGACTCTAGTTCATTCTTCAACTACAAAAATAAAGGTGAGAATGTCAAATCCAAAATAATGTATTCCTTCATGCTCTTACCTATTCAACCAAATTTAAAATTCAGACTAACAGCACATGCCACATTTTAAGGCAAACCATTTAAAAAATTATATAACTTGAAACAAAATCTAATTTTGTCAAAGAACATGTTTGCACCTATATTTTAAAGTTTAAATTTATCCACTGCCCTTCCATATAAGTTTATTTTTCCTCTGTTTTAGTTCTCCACTCAAAGAGACCACCAATAAGAACTATCCAAAATTGATGGCTTAAGCTTGTCAAAATGTTGTACATTCGTAATAGTTTCTTTCACAACCCATTCAAGCTGTCTCCAAAATTTAATTTCCAAAAAGTGGGTTCCTCATCATCAAACTTACATTTCATTTAGTTCTTTTGCACTTAAGAGAAAAAACTCCAAAACTTTATCTTTTTTACATCTTAAATCACTTAAACTAAGCATTATTATACTAACATAATTCTGCATTTCTTCCATAATACTTGTATCCATTATATAATAGTAAGTAAAGGAACTCAAACTGCAACATTATGAATAAAGCTTCACTGTAGTCCTGTGCTAGATCAAGAATGCAATAACCTCAAAGTTCTTAAATTCAAAATTCCTACATAGAAACTTAAGAACCATTTGTTCTTTTTACTACAACTAATCACTTAACAGAGGGTTCTACACTACTTTTTCTCACTTATTTAGCAAGGTTTGTTCTGTAGTTTATTGCATACAATATTCTTAGTGTGTAATTTTCAGAATCGTAAGTGCTAGCTATGTTGTAATCTTAGGATCCCATGGTAGTTGAATATCTAATGAACTCAAGTGGTCATTCAACATAAACTAAAGCTATTTTCATGTACAATTTTCAACACATCTGGTTTTGAAATCATGTTCAATTACAAATTTTACTGCTCTTCACTATATTTTTTGGAGTATACAAGCAGATATCATAAATGTACAATATTCAGAAGTCTGGAAAAACAAAATATTAACTTGATATAACAATAACATATCTTAGATACTATACGTTTACTAAGGTTGTCAGAGGACACCTTGACACAACATCACCAAATTTTGTCCAGTCTCAACCATCAGCTACAATTCTATAATAACCTATATATGTTTTACCTGCAGCACATTTCAATTTTTAAAATGCCCAAATTAAAGTGTGCTTCTTCAGCTCAGCAGGCTAACAAAACTAAAACTAGGAAGACAGTTCAAAGAGAAAATCTCAAATTCATAATAAGATTCAATGTCTTTACCATCACAATTAATAATTTGTAGTTTCATACAGTTAACCAAGTAGGAATATGTCTTTGATAATCTGTTTTTTCCACATGTTTCAATCTATAAGGATTTATCAAGAAGAACATTTGAACATAACATAAAAATATACAGAAGTCAAAATGCTAATCAAGCAAAATTTAAAGGAGATAACCAAATATACATAAAAAATGTTGTTTTCATGAAATAATAGAACTAGGATAGTCATTCTCCATACATACATACATATATAGTTACTAGATTATGATTACTTTTTAGAAAATATGTTCATAAAACCTTTATTTAGATATAACTTTGAGAATAAAAATGATTCATTATTTCCCATCATATGATGGGCATTCAGCTTTTATTTTACTATTTTAATGTTTTTGATATACTGATACATGTATATTTTTTTGATAATGTTTTACCTGAGGCTTGATATTGCCCATTGTTCTTTCAGTCTTCCATTATAAAAACTGTTTTTGCTAACTAGAAATTCATGAGGGAAAAGATCTAATTTGTTTGTCCTTGCAATGCTGTTCTTTCAGCATATTATTCAAGAAAGTTTGTACATGGTACATTATGTTTCAGCAACTTTCACATCTGTTCTGGACAGTATTCATTGATCTTTGCAATATCCTCCACAGTGACACACATTTTAATCAAATCACCAACCATTTATCATTGAAAGAAAGAGAGAGAAGAGAACTTAAAGCAGTACTAATTTTTAAGAAAAGTTATATAATATAGGTATGAAATAGAATGTGGTT